TGGCTCAGAGGAGTGGGCTCCAACCCCACTCACCTAGGCTCAGGCATGCTTCCCTTGACCCCCTGATCCCCAGGCCAGTCATTGAAAGCACACAGCACGTGCACCTCTGCAAGAGGGAGGGTCCTTTGCTGTTCATTCAGATCCCACGTGGCCCTGTGACAGCCCAAGTGGTTGCAACGGTATCATCCTCCCTCCCCTTCCGCACTCCATCCCACCCCGGGCAGATCCGGGTTCTGCCCTCAGCCCCACCGATGAGGAGGAAGGTCCAGTACCAGGCGGATCTCTTCGCACCAGCACAGGAAGCAGACAGGCTTAGGAGAGCACCGTAGCAGATGCTGGGCTTTGAGGGACATTGTCCTCTCTCCAGAGGGGCAGAGAAGCGATATGCATGTCCCATTTGCCCACAGTCCCTGGGGCCCTTCCCTGTGTCTCAGTCAATGGACCTCCGGTAAAAACCTCTGCTCCCATGGAAACATGAACAGAGAAAGAGCAAAACCAAGATCTCACAGCCAGTGTGGTTTCAGCCAGGCCATCGCCCCTCTCAGCCAGCCAAACCTGGGAAAACGAGAGGTGGGGACAGGCAGGGAAGGGCGGTCTTACAGAACATTCTGGAATCGTGATCCGATGAGCAGAGGGGACCCGTGCATCTAGCTGGCAGTGGCCAGACAGAGGAAATGCAGTGTCTGGCTGCCGGCCACTATCACCTGCTCCCACGGGCAGGATCTCTGGCCCTCTCCTGACCCCTGGCGGCCCACAAGATGAGGCAGGGGAGGGCAACTCCTCCCTGCTCTAGGGGCAGGGGGCAGCCAAGTGATCCCAGCGCAGCTGGAAAGATGCAGCCCCTACCCCACAGCCCCAGCAGGGGTCCCCACGAGGTGCCAGCATCCTTGCAGTCATCAGATGTCTTCTCATTAAGAAGCCTGTCAATCATTCAGATGTATACAAAGAATGAACTTTTCAGCTGTCAATATGGTAAAATGGATATGTGTGTGTGTATCCCTGTGTGTATCCACATCTATCTGTAAGTGTGTGTGTCCCTGTGTGTATCCATGTCCAAGCATCTGTGTGTGTGTGTATCCTTGTCTAAGTATCTGTGTGTGTGTTACAAATAAAGGCCAGTATAGATCAGGGTGCAATGAAACCAGCATTCTCATTCATAACCTGTGAGAGTTAAATTCATTCAAGTGATTCTGGCAAAATCTTAAAAAGTCCTTCTATTCTGGGACCTAATAATTGTATTGTTAAGAATCCAACCTCAGGGGTCAGCGTTGTGGCACAGCAGGTTAAACCTCCACCTTAGGCCTGGCCCAGCCCCAGCCTTTGTGGCCATTTGGGGAATAAATTAGTGGATGGAAGACCTCTCTGTGTGTCTCTCCTCCTCTCTCTGTAACTCTGTCTTTCAGGTAAAAACACAAATAAATTTTTTATAAAGAAACTTGTTTAAAAAAAAAAGAATTCAACTTCAGGGGCCAGCGCTGTGGTGCCGTGGGTTATGCCGCTACTTGCCCCACTGTCATCCAATGCCAGAGCACCAGGTCAAGTCCCAGCTGCTCTGCCTGGGAGGGCAGCAGGTGATGACCCAAGGACTTGGGTCTCTGCCATCCGTGTGGGAGACCATCATGGAATTCCTGGCTCCTGGCTTTGGCCTGGCCCCGTCTTGTCCACTGCAGGCCATCTGGGGAACGAACCAGGGTGGTGGATGGAAGCTCTCTCTCTGTCTGTCCCTCTTTCTCTGTGTAGCTTTGCCTTTCAAATAAATAAATCAATCTTCTTTAAAAAAAAGAAGAAGAAGAAGAAGAAGAAGAAGAAGAAGAAGAAGAAGAAGAAGAAGAAGAAGAAGAAGAAGAAGAAGAAGAAGAAGGAGTCCAACTTCAAGAAATCGAGAGACTGACACCACAGAAGACCTGGAATTTGAGTAAAGGTGGTGGAGGGGGATAAAGTGAGCCAAGAGTGATTCTTGCTGAAGTGAGGGGATGGGCAGGTAGGCAGAGGCTGTTTAGTCTATCTACTTTGGCTTATTTTGAAATTTTCAAGAATAAAACGTTTTAAAGAAAAGTCAGAGATACAAAGATCTGTACACAAAGATTAATTTTTAACAACAAAAAAGTGCAGACAGCATAAAAGAGCTAAACTAAAATAGTAAAAAAAAAAAAAAACAAAAAAAAATATGGTGCCTCCAAACAGGGGAATATTACACAGTCATTCAAGATCCAGGGAGGTTTTTAACGATGTGAAAAAAAAATGCTTACCACGTAAAGCCAAGTGAATGAGTAGGATGCAAAATCTCATGTGCAGCATTTAGCCAATTATATTAAGTAAAAATGCATGGACGCAGCTCTGAGAATGTACCGAGTGTCATACAGTGTTACACGGTGATTTCCCTTTGTATTCCTGGTATTGTACTGTGTTCTCCAAATTTCTACAATGTTCCCACTTTGCTTTTATAAAATGGCATCTGTGAGTGCATATGAACTTGAGCACCAAGGGCTGCCATAGGTTAGCTGTGCCACACTGGACAAATTAATTAACTTCCAGGGCCCTGATCCCTTACCTCTAAAACAGGCCAATTGCCAATGTATTTTCAAGCTGCTATTACTATGCACTGGGCACCAGGCCAAGTAGTCCGCCCTCCATTAATAAGCGTACATTCTATCCATGCACACAATTTGCACGTGATCATCTCCATCTTCACCATGAGCCATGGAGTAGGTCATGATATCCCCGAGATACACGCAGGCTGCCAATCAGAATGGTTACTCGATGCGCTCAGGTTTACCCCGCTCAAAGGTGGAAGAGTCAGGATGCAGCCGTAGGTCTGTCCATCTTTGGAAGCCCAGCTCCTGGTCCCCAGCTTGGATGGCTCCCGGTTTCCGTTTGGTTGTGAGGAGTGAATGAGGTCATCCAGACAGCGTGCCAAGCACAGAACCTGGCTCCCAGCACAGAGCCACTCCATGTAATGCTAGCTCCCTTGGCCCTGACATCTGAACATGGGCATATGGTGGCCAAACAAACCAGTGAGCTCTTGGAAGAAAAAAAAAAAAGCATTCCTGCCCTGAGAGGGGGACTGGAGGACATGTGAGGACAGAAGAGGACAGGGCCGGAAGGCTGGCTCCCCCAAGGCTGGCGTCTCACATGTTCCGCGCAGCTGCCGTCAGAGACTTCGGCACTTCAGCAAGCCCCCCTGTTTTAACTTCCACTTCAAATACAGGCACAAAGCACCGCCCCAACTTCCACTTATACCTGCTTCCTCGGGTCTGTGCTGTGCCCATGGCTTGGCGTGGCTTCTCCTGTATTCTCCCTTTCTTGGAGAAAAGAGGGGTCTTAACTGCGGAGTAAGACGAGGCACCACGAGAAGCAGGGAGGGGTAGCTATCTAAGGACAGCTGACACAGCCGCAGCTGCCCCCGAGCTCCCTTTCGGAGTCACCGTCACTGCCTCTTTCCCTGGGGAGCAGCGGGAGTTCAGCTCCGGCCCTAGTCCCTGTTCCCAGCCCATGGGCTTGCCAGGGCACTGGCACTGGTTAGCTGTCTGCCTTCTCTGTTAGGTGAGAGCAGGACCACGCCGTTCACCACCGGATCCCTAGCTCCCAGCAATGGGCCTAGCCCATGGTAAACTCCGCAATGGCTGATGGAGAGCTGAATGAATGAATGAATGAATGAATGAACAAACGAATGACACAGGAGCTCTCCATCAACCATCAGGTCCCCAATGGACCCTTACCCACCCTGTACCGTGCTAGCATTTATAAGATGCGGTCCCTGACCTGGAGACGTAACATTGACATTTTTTTTCCAATGTCATAGAAACTTAGTGAAAACTTAGAGCGAGGGAAATCTTGCTTACTCCAAACCTCACGCTCTCTATTTCCCACCCCACCCCATCCCACCCCCGCCAAGAACTCAAAATGGAGCCCCTGAGTCTCAGAAGTACATGGGATCCTGAGAGGAATTACAGGGCTCAAAATATCTGGCATCCAGTGCCCTGATCCTAGCTCTGCCGCCTCTGCTGTGTGGCCTCTGGCGACTGACTTCCCACTCTGGGCCTTCTCAACGTATAGTAAGGCTTGGGAGGGGAGCAGTGGAGCAGGTCTCTTAGGAAGCAAAAGCAAGTATTGGGTCTGACTGTTAACCTGCCATGTGTCCTCCTTCCTAAATGCTTAGAGATGGGTGGACAGAGCCGCACAGTATACAGAAGCTTGGGGGGCTGCTGCTTGAGGCTGGACAGAGGCATGGTGGGCTGAAAGCCTCTCACTGCTCAAGGGGCCTGCGCAGCTGTGTGCAGCAGCATTTTTGCTGAACAGCCGCAAAGGAGAAGACCTCCAAAGCCCCCAGGGTCTTCATGGCATCACCACACACGACCCCACCCTCCACCCCCACCCTACCTCCCCCATTTTAAAATAGCACACCCCTCCTCTTCAGTAGCATGAACCAGGGAGCAATAGTTGTTGGGGGTGGATCTTGGGGAGGCCTGGAAAAGCACAGGTGGTGCCAGCCCCCCCCCCGCACCCCACCCTCGGGTCAGGGCCCCGGTCAAGCTTCCTGAGAAAGCACAACGGAGTGCGGCGCTCGGCGCTCGGTCGGTCGTGGGCTCCCTGGACACCCGCATCCAGGCCCAAAGGCTGCCTGGCTTCCAGCCAAGCTGCTGGCAGGTTCACGCTCCCCGCCTGGACCCCACCAACACCACTTCCGGCCCTCCTGTCTCCATCTGGGCTCTTCCTGCCTGCATTTCTATACCCACGCCTGCCCTGCCCTCTGCAGCGCCTTCTCCCTCCCTTCACAACCCTTCTCTCCATATCTATTTCTTTCCCCTCCCTCCCTCCTCCCCTGCTCTCCCCGCGGAACCATCCCTCACCAGCACCAGACCGGGTCTCCCGCCCCCCCACGCCCGCGATAGCCACCCCCCTCCTTGGTGCTCACCCCTGCACCTCTCTCTTTGTATTCCTCTCACCGGCATCTCTCCTCCCCCGCCCGGCCTGGGCCTCCCCCTGCCTCCCCATCTTCAGCCCAGTCTCCTCCCCCTGGCTCCTCTCCCTCCCTCCCCCCACCTCACCCCACTCCCTGCCTGCAGGCCAGGGTTTCTCTCCGCCCTGGGGGTCTCAGTGCCTCTCCCTCTGCTCCCTACCTGCCTCCCCTACACTGCAGCTTAGCGGGCACCCATCCTTTCTGCCTGGGCTTTCCCCCTCCCCATCTTCTTCATCTGCCTCCTCCTCTCTCCACCCTCTCCTCTCCTCTCTCTGCCCCTTTAAATCTGCCTGGTCCAGCCTCCCCCGTGATGCTGGAATGGAGCAAACATTGATTTGTGCTCGGATGGAATCGGAATTTTGATTTTTTTTTTCCTCTCCCAACCATCAGAAGAAAAAAAAATAATTAAAAAACACCCCCTCTCGCTAGCCCCCTCCCCCTTCCCATCCAGCTTCCAGCTCCTCTTGCCTGTCTCCATCCAAGACAGATTTTTTTTCCCCTACACTATTCTCATCTCCCTCCACCCCTGCCGCTGCCTCGCCCCCCACTCCATCAGCCTGCTCCTTCAGCTGGAAAGAGCGAGAGAGAGGGGCCTCTCTTCCAACGACTCCCCACCTCCCCTGTCTGGGGTGGAGCGGTCTCTCCGGAAGGGGAGGGGGCTTGGCTTGTCCAGGCGAGGTGGGAGTGGAGGTGTCCAGCCATGGATGCTGAGCCCGGGAGGCGGCCTGAGCCTCAGCCCACAGGGTGAGTACCGGCCCCCTCCCTGCCTGTCTGCCCATCCCCACCCTGGCCTTTCCCCTTCATAGCCACCCCCTGTCCCCAACCTTCCCCCAGAGGAACCCTCTCTCTGCCCACCTTGTCTGATTCCCCCCCCCAACATTTTTACCCCACCCCCACCCCTGCTTCGCCAGAGAAGTCAGAGAACCGGAGCAGAGGGGTCCTGACAGCACCTGGGAAGCGGGTGGAAGAGTCTGCCCAGCCCCCTCTTGGGACCCCTAAACTGCCATCCTCTCCATGCGCTTTGGGGTTCTAGGCTGGAGAAGTGGGACGCCCGCTTGGGGTTGGGGCTTGCAGTCTCTACAGGGAGGGAGGGATGGGGAAGCCTCCGGGCCCCCCCAAAGCTTTGGGAGCTGCTACCGGGGGCGGAGGGGGGCGGCTGGGGGGCGGTACTGAGGCTTTGGAGACGCCCGGCCAGGGAGCGGCGGGCAGAGGAGGGGCCTCGCTCACCACCTTCCCCCCACCTCGTCTTTCTCCGCAGCCACTCAGGATGAGGGTCCGGCCCTGCCTGCCCGCGCTGGGGGCCCCCCGCCCAGCCCCGGTCTAAGTGCCCCCGCCCCCAGGCCTCGCCCGGCTCCCAGGCCCCCAGCCGGCTCTCCAGCCCCAGGATGCGCTGAGCCACCGGGGGGCTGAGGCCGCGCCAACTACATGCATGTCCCCCGGGGGCAAGTTCGACTTTGACGACGGGGGCTGCTACGTGGGGGGCTGGGAGGCGGGGCGGGCACATGGCTACGGCGTGTGCACGGGGCCCGGCGCCCAGGGCGAGTACAGCGGCTGCTGGGCGCACGGCTTCGAGTCACTGGGCGTCTTCACCGGGCCCGGCGGACACAGCTACCAGGGCCACTGGCAGCAGGGCAAGCGCGAAGGGCTGGGCGTGGAGCGCAAGAGCCGCTGGACGTACCGCGGCGAGTGGCTGGGCGGGCTGAAGGGGCGCAGCGGCGTGTGGGAGAGCGTGTCCGGCCTGCGCTACGCCGGGCTCTGGAAGGACGGCTTCCAGGACGGCTACGGCACCGAGACCTACTCCGACGGAGGTGCGCGGCCCGGCCCACCGATGTCTGTCTGCTCCTCCGCCGGCGCCCTCCCCCCCCCCCCCCCCATATGCCCCGCGCCCCGTTGTTCCCCAAACGCCTCCCCCAGCCATATGCGACCCCGGCGCCCATTCCCCCGCCCTTCTGCCCTCTCCCGCCACCGCCCGCCCCTGCCATCCTCGTGCGTCTCTCTCCCTCGTCCCCGTCTGCCCGCCCTCACCCCTTGCTGTCTGCCTGCCCCTCCCCACCTGCCGGCGCCCAGCATCCCTGCTCAGCCCGCACGCCCTCGCTGCTCTCCTCTGCGGGCTTGCCCGTCGTGGTGCGGGTGGCTTGCCCCGTGTTTGTCGTAGACATATTGTCAGGTGGCCCTCACGCCCTCTGGGCCGCCTGTGTGTGCCTCCTCCTCGCCCCGTCACTCCCCCTACCCCCGCCACTGCCCAGAGCCACGTGCCTCCCTGCTCCGCTGGTCACCCACCCCTGCCCACCCAGCAGGGCCCCCCCACCTCCCACTCTCGGGACCGGGGCTGCCTGCAGCCCAGCGACGAGGTCTGACTGTGTCTCCCATCCCCTCCCGCCCGCAGGCACCTACCAGGGCCAGTGGCAGTCCGGCAAGCGCCACGGCTACGGGGTGCGCCAGAGTGTGCCCTACCATCAGGCGGCGCTGCTGCGTTCGCCCCGACGCACCTCCCTGGACTCCGGCCACAGCGACCCCCCGACGCCGCCCCCGCCTCTGCCCCTGCCGGGCGACGAGGGAGGCAGCCCGGCCTCGGGCTCCAGGGGCGGCTTCGTGCTGGCCGGGCCGGGGGACGCCGACGGCGCGTCCTCCCGAAAGCGCACCCCAGCGGCCGGCGGGTTCTTCCGGCGCTCGTTGCTGCTCAGCGGGCTCCGGGCAGGCGGGCGCCGCAGCTCCCTGGGCAGCAAGCGGGGCTCCCTGCGCAGCGAGGTGAGCAGTGAAGTGGGCAGCACGGGACCCCCGGGCTCCGAGGCCAGCGGGCCGCCGGCCCCAGCGCCGCCCGCCCTCATCGAGGGCTCTGCCACCGAGGTGTACGCGGGCGAGTGGCGCGCCGATCGGCGCAGCGGCTACGGCGTGAGCCAGCGCTCCAACGGGCTGCGCTACGAGGGCGAGTGGCTAGGCAACCGGCGGCACGGATACGGGCGCACCACCCGCCCCGACGGCTCCCGCGAGGAGGGCAAGTACAAGCGCAACCGGCTGGTGCACGGGGGGCGCGTCCGCAGCCTCCTGCCCCTGGCTCTTCGGCGTGGCAAAGTCAAGGAGAAGGTGGACAGGGCTGTCGAGGGCGCGCGTCGAGCCGTGAGCGCAGCCCGCCAGCGCCAGGAGATCGCCGCTGCCAGGTGGGCATCTGGGGAGTGCAGAGCCCAAAGCTTGGCAGAGAGGCCAGAGGGTGTGCTGGGGACAAGGCAGGAGGAGCTGCATCAGGGAGGACCGAGGCCCAAGGCCCAGGGCCTGGAGGGGGAGAGCAGGCCTAAGACTAGGCCGCAGTAGTTCTGGGCGATCGAGGGTGTTTAGATGTGAGGCTACAGGTGGATGTGGGTGTCATCGTGGGCAGCTTTGCATAGGAGGGCAAAGACTGCACGTGTGTCTCAGGATCCTCTGTGTGGTGATGTGTGTCCCACTGCTGTGTGTGGAAGTAGCCACGGGCACTGCTTTGTACAGGCCCAAAGGCCTTTCTGGAACTCAGACGTGTCCCTAGTGGGAAGACTCTGGCATCCGGTCCAGCCTTCAGGCCTGAACATCAGCCCTGGGCGGAACAGGGGGGGAGTGTCCCTTCCTAACCACATCCTAGGCTGACACCATTTCAACCCTGGGCCTGGGGTAGGTCTCACTTTCTCACTTGTCCGCCTGACTTACCCACCTGAAAAGATGGTCTCTCCCGGTTTTACATCCTCTGCCTTCTTTCATCGGACGGATGGCTAAAGATGTGAGAGGAGGAGGAGGTGGCTTGTCTGTAAATGGAATTTCCTTTCTGCAAATCAGATTGCAGTTCCACACCAGGAACTTGCTGTCTAAAGCAGTGCTGTCAAATAAGAAAATAAGTCAAATATGTAACAAAGTCTCCTCATAGCCACATTTTTAAAAAAAGACACAGGTAAAATTAATTTAATAATATATTTTTACTTAAACCAGTATGAGTATATCCAAAAGATTATCATTTCAACCTGTAGTCAATATAAAGCTACTGAGATATTTTGCATTGCTTTCGGACCAAGTTTTTGAAATCTGGTGTGTATTTTACACTGACAACACATGATTTCAAATCAGACTGGCCACATGTCAAGTGCTTAATAGCCACACATGGCTTTTGAGTATTGAATTAGATAGCACAGATCGAAAGCCAGCCAGAAATCCATCTGTAATGAGATTCAGAGGCCCTTGATTTATACAACCCACACATTTGAATTTTTATACGTTGGCTTTTCTTTAAAAGACATGGGGGCGTGGCTGAGGAATTTTGTTTGCATCTGAAACTATTCCAGAGGGTCAGAGAAGAGGATCTCTCCAGTAGGCTCCTGTGGGTTTGTATGATGGTGCCTCTCTGTGTGCATGTGTGTGTGTGTGCACGTATGAAACCCAGGGACTGTGCGTCTGTACATGTTTCTGAGCATCTGGGTGTTTGCGCTAAGCCAGGGAAGGGGGAAGGCAGAGCACCGGGGAATATTTAAGGCTGGAGAGGGTGGAGGCATGTGCAGGAAAATCTGATCTCAGTAACTAGAGGATCAGACAGTGGGAAGAGGCTGGTTGGTCTCCCCAGCAACAGGCCTGGCAACCCTGATTGGCTGCCAGCTGCCATGGAAACAGCAGAGCCTCCAGAGCAGGTGCCTCTGTCAGGTAGCCTGCACTTGGCCTGGTGCCTGAGCACAGATGAAGGCCGTGCCTAGGATCTGATCATCCGTATCCTCCATCTGCAAAAAAGCCAGTTTCAGGGCTGCCAGAGAGCTTGGTGCAACCCAAGACTGATCCTCACACCCTGCCCCAGACTCAGACCTGCTCCGTTTCAGCCTGAACACCCCAAGACAGAAGGGCAGGGCTCTCTGAGGTCCCTCCAAGCAGGCCCTCGAGGTCCCTGAGCCTCCAGGTTTGAGGACAGGAGAGCGACCATATCTCCCCCATAGCACATAAAACAGTACGTGGGTAAGAGGTGGACTTCGATGACAAGAGCAGCCCCACCCTCCACCCAGGCTGCCTTCCTAAGTCAGATAAAACAGGTCTGTAGCCAGAGACTCTTGGGCCTGGAGCCATGCAAGCTCATGACAAAGGCACCTGATCACGTCTGTCTGCCCCTCTTGTGCTCCATCTTCAGTCAGGCACACACACACATACACACACACACACTCTTAACAGCAGACAATAAAGGGGAAGGGGAAATTGAGGAAGTGTCTAACCTCAGGGAGAACCGAAAAACTACAACTAAGAGGGGGAAGATTGATGCTGCTGCCAGGGTCGCTGTGCCGAGGAGCAGGGCGGGAGGGGATGGGGCTGAGTCACAATGGTGAGAACACAGGCACAGGATCACAGCAGAGGAGTCCCACCTTGCTCCAGTGCAGGAGCTCAGAAAAGCATGAGGTGGGGAAGGGGGGCGGAGTGGCAGAGAGAACAATGTGAACACAAAGGAGGCTGAAGAAAAGCAAGATGGGAAATGCTCATGTCAGGAAATCCATGCTGGAGGAGGTAGGATTTAAAAAGCAAGGAGAGCAGGCAGGGGAGAGGGGAAGGGAGGCTCCAGGCAGGGGGTGGGAAAGGCCGGGATGCAAGTACAGGATGGTACCCCGGACCCTACAGAGAAACCTGTGACCCCGGGGAGTGTGCAAGGGGTTGATACCAACAGGAAGCCCCCGCTGCAAAGAGGGCAGCAGGCAGAGCTTGCAGGCACCTTGCCGGCCGCCTGCAGAGGATGTGCCGGCACAGAGGTCTTGCTTGTCACCTGGAAGGGAGCAGGACAGGAATGGAATAACTGGAGGGCGTGGCCCCTGTTGCTGGAAGAAGGAAGTGTTACTATGGGCCCTAATGGCAGAGGGTGTGAGAGGAGCAGGAGGGTGTGATGGCAGCGAACACGGTCCGAAGCAGGCAGAAGCAGCCCCAGCCTGTGCAGGGAGGGAGCAGCAGGCAGAGGGAAAGCAAGGGTGAGGAGCTCAGCTCAGGAGGATATGGCGGGATCAGGGCAGGGGTGAGGGTCTAAAGGGCTGGGTGGGGGTGATATGGAGCTGCAGGGGAGGTCTGCTAAGTCCCTGTCCCTGGGACCCGACAGGGCCGCCGACGCCCTCCTAAAAGCAGTGGCAGCCAGTAGCGTCGCTGAGAAGGCCGTGGAGGCAGCACGGATGGCCAAGCTGATAGCCCAGGACCTGCAACCCATGCTAGAAGCCCCAGGTGAGAGGAGGGCGAACCCCCTGGGAACCAGAACGGCTCAGGTGTGGAGCAGCGGGGATGGGAAGCCCTGGAGGGGGGACTGGGGAGGTATGAGGGTCCAAGGGGGCGGTTGGCGGGGCCAGGCCCGGTTGTCTGGGGTGTGGGACTGGGAATTTATGAAATAGGGTGATGGGAGGTTTGGGGTCTGGCAGGGAGCAGCTATGGGCCGGTGGGGGTGGGGTGCAGCAGATTCCTGGGCAGTTCTCTGTCATGGGTGGTGGGGCTAAGGCTGTGAGCCCCCAGCCCAAGGCCAGTGAGGCCCCGCTGATTCCCATCCATCCCTGCCAGGCCGCAGACCCAGGCAAGACTCAGAAGGTTCCGACACGGAGCCCTTGGATGAGGACAGCCCCGGGGTGTATGAGAATGGACTGACACCCTCAGAGGGCTCCCCCGAACTGCCCAGCAGCCCTACTTCCTCCCGCCAACCCTGGCGACCCCCTGCCTGCCGGAGCCCACTGCCTCCCGGAGGGGACTGGGGTCCCTTCGCCAGCCCCAAAGCGTGGCCCGAGGAGTGGGGGGGCCCAGGGGAGCAGGTGGAGGAACTAGCTGGCTATGAGGCTGAGGATGAGGCCGGGATGCAGGGGCCAGGGCCCAGAGACGGTTCCCCCCTCCTTGGAGGCTGCAGCGACAGCTCAGGAAGTCTTCGAGAGGAGGAAGGGGAAGATGAAGAGTCCCTGCCCCAGCTGAGGGCTCCAGGAGACTCGGAGCCTGAGCCTGTGGCCACGCCAGTGCTGAAGGGCCCAGCCTCGAGGGGTCCCGCTGCTGGGTGCCTGCTGGAAGAACTCGAGGAGCCGGCTGCCACCGAGAGGCCTGCCCAGCCGGTGAGACCCCCTCCGTCCCCAGTGTGTGCCCTCTCTTCCCCAAAGCCTTGCCTCCCATCCTGTCCAGATCTCTGAGGGGCCTTGACTGCAACTCAGCTTCCTCTCTGCCCGGCCAGTCTTGGACCACCTCCCACCTTCCAGACCTTCTGAGCTGGAGGGAGCCATAGAGACCGTGAGGTCCAAGCCCTTCGTTTGGCAGAGAGGGGAACTGGGGCCCGGAGCTCCGAAAGTAACTTGTCCGTGGTTACCAACTAGTGATTAACAGCAGAGCCAGAACATTTGCCTCTGTTCTCTTTCCATATCATTTCCAGTCCCCAGATTCCTACTCCACCCCCACTGCCACCTCCGCACTTTCTCTCTTTGGTGCCCAGAAATAAAAAAGGAAAAAATCGTTCCCTCCCTATTCTGTCTCTCCCTCCCTCTCCTGGGAAGAAGAGAAATTGGAAAAGAGGCAGAAAACTGGGAGAGGCGGGGCTTCCCCAGAACCCTCTATGCTGATTGGACTCCAGGCCCTCTCCTGTTTCCTAGCAACCACATCCTCACCCCTTCATCCCTCCACCTCACTGCAGCACACGGCGCCGCCAATGTCGGCTTCTGAGGCCGGGCTCCGTCTGCCTGGGCCACAGACTACACGGGTGGGAGGAGTGTGGAGAAGGTGGCAGGGGAAGTGGGGAGCTTTGCAATACAAAGTAACGCCCCCGCCTCTGCAGGACAGCGCCTAGGACCCTCCGGCTTGGCCACTGCAGCCAGCCCAGGAAGCTGGGACCTAGCGCTGGCCCTGGCCCCCAGGGACTCAGCCTGCTTCCCCTTCTGTCTCTCTAGGGAGCTGCCAACCCCCTGGTGGTGGGAGCCGTGGCCCTCCTGGACCTCAGCCTGGCGTTCCTGTTCTCCCAGCTCCTCACCTGAGGCTGCTCCCTGGCCCAGTTCTGGCTTCAGTCGCCTGCCTCTTCACCCCGCGACCTGCCTCTCTCTCTCCCGCCTCCTGGTTGTTTTCTCGCCGGTCCGCCCTCCTCCCTTTCTTTTCTCTCATTCCATCTCTTGCTTTTTCCTCCCCTCTCTTTGGGATCCTCTCATTCCCTCTGTCTTCCTCACCTTCTCTCTCTAGATTGTTTACATACGAAGGGCTTTTCTCTCTCAGAGGCGCTCTCCCTCCTGTCTCTGAGACACACAACTCTAAGTCAGACCATTGCCCCACATGCTCCCCACCTTTTCTTTAGACCTAAACTTTGCTGAGAATGGGGGTTTGGTGTCCTGAGGAGTCTCTTGCGAAGGAGGAAGACCACGGGGAAGAGGTGGCTGGGGGGCGGGCCCAGCGTGGCCCAGCCAAGAGCTGGCTGAGCCCCTGAGGCTTCTGGGCTGCCACCTCCCGCCCTGGAGGGCCTGCTCTTCTGTCCACGCACTGAGCTCAGTCCTTGCCTAAGCCCGTCCTTCCCTGGGGGAGACAAGGGGAGAGAGTGCAAAGTACAGGAACTGCCTGGCGGCTCCCTCTTGCTCTCCTCAGCACGGCCAGCCCCTCCTCCAGTCCCCACGTCGGGGTGCCATACAGAAAGGAACAAGCAACACCCAGGTCCACCACCTCTCAAACTCTGCCCCCGACCCTGTGACCTCGCCCACCCTTCTGTGTCCCCCTAGAAGTTTATTATCGGTTGCTTTGGACTCACTTGTGGCCTTTGATTCAATTCCTAAGGGGCCTGAAGGAGACACTTCTACAGTAGAGGGTTAGGGGGGCGCAGCAGCCGGGACCCCACTCCCCAACTCCGGCAGTTGTGGTGGCGGTGGGCTTGGCACTTGGGGGGGACTGGAGCAGGCAGGAGAGCGGGCGCTGGGACACAGGGCAGCGGCAGAAGCTGTGGCAGCTGAAGCAGCCTCCCAATGGGTCCTGTCCCTGCCCCCATCACACGACCATCTCGTGAAACAGGAAGACAGGAGGCCATCAAGGGAAGCCATCTCTCACACACTCTCCACAGCAGGGCTGAGGCGGGAGGCAGACCCCAGCTGAGAGGTGGGTGTGGGTGGAGAGCCCTGGAGAGGTTGTGGCTGATCCCCGGGACTAACTCACCCCCAGGGAGCTCTTTCCTCCCTCCCCTGCATGAGGCATAGGCAGACTGCCTGCCAACCCCTCCCTCAAGGAATGGCCTTGCCCGGGAATGCCCACCACACACCCCCTCTTCTTTTTTTTCTAGTCAAACTGTTTACTCCTTGGCCTGCCTCCCTCCTTCCTCCCCTCTCAACCTTTACTTCTGATTTCTATTTCATGGAATTTGGGATTGAAGTTATACAACAGTGCCGCCAACACCAAGTCTTGCAGGAAAAAAACAAAGAAATTTAACAAAAAAATATATTAATAAAAAAGTTCAAAAAAGGGGGGGATTGTCATCTCCTTTGGGGTGCGGTGGGAAGGATGTGCCTGGGGGAACCGCAGGGCTGTCACAGTGTCTCCGCCCCTCCACCCCCTACCCTTCTGCTGGCAAGAGCTCTTAACCCCTGACCTCCAGAGCCTTGGCTCCAGGTCCAAGGCTTTAAGAAGCCTCAGCAGGTTAGCCCAGGAGGGGCGGGGTCCCGTGGTGGAGGCGGGGAGAGGGAAGAACCCGACGAAGCGCCAACCCCTGCTCGGCCCTGTACCAGGAAGCGCTGGGGCACAGGAGCGGAGTTGAGACACAAGCCAGGTGAGCCTGGCGTCCTGAGGTGGGGAGCCGGGGCCTCCTGGGAGGGGATTGCGGGAAGGAACCCCGCAGCGCTGGCTAGGAGAGGGATGGCTGGGCTAGAAACGGGCGCCCAGGTGCAGGCAGCGGAGCAGGGTGGGGGGAATAGGCGGGGCCCGAGCGCCTGCTCGAGCGAGCGCAGGGTGGGGCGGGGACGCATGCGCAGTGGGGGCCCTCCTCGGGCGGTGGCGAGGGGCGGGGCGGGAAGACAGAGGTGGGGCTCACTGTTGGGGTAGCCGTGGGACCCAGGCCCTCAGGATCTAGGCACAAGGCACGCTTGGGCAGAAAAGCCAGAGTGTAAAAGCCCTCTGCTTGCACTCCCGGGCTCTGTCCCCCAGGATGGTGGTGACTTCGCTGAAGCTCCAGGATCTAATCGAGGAGATCCGTGGGGCCAAGACCCAGGCGCAGGAGCGGGAGGTGATCCAGAGGGAGTGCGCCCACATCCGGGCCTCCTTCCGCGACGGGGACCCTGCGCAGAGGCACCGCCAGCTGGCCAAGCTGCTGTACGTCCACATGTTGGGCTACCCCGCCCACTTTGGACAGGTACTGGCCGGCGACAACCTGCCCCTGAGCCTCAGCCCCTCACCTCCAGGTGCCCTGATTGCGTTCATGCTGCACACGGTTTCTGAGCGCTCACAGCCCGCGCCGCAGGGTTCTGTCCCTGCCAGCTGGCCCGAACTCCGCCTTCCCTGGCCAGTGCTATTCCGGGCACCTCCTCTCCTCTCCTCTGCCCTCCTCCTCCTCCACTCCTGGTCTCATGAAACTGTTCACTGGCGCCGGAACCTTCTCCGCCTCTCCTCTTGCTGAAGGGAGGATGATGGGGCGTGCCGGCTCCCCAGTCGAGCTGGTGTTGAGGAGGAAGGCAGGTGGAGCCGGGCGGGCGAGCCTCGCCTGGGCGCCTCTGGTTTCACCCTGCCCCTCTGGGTCTGCTCCCTCCCCTGTAGATGGAGTGTCTGAAATTGATCGCCTCCCCCAGATTCACAGACAAGAGGGTGGGCTACCTGGGGGCCATGCTTCTGTTGGATGAGAGGCACGATGCCCACCTACTCATTACCAACAGCATCAAGAAGTGAGAGGCTTCTGGGAAGCAGGGAGATGGGCGCGTGGGAACTGGGACAGCCCACGGGACTGCCTGCCACAGGTGCTGGGAAGGCCTGCTGTTCCCGGGCTTGACGGCTGGCCTCCCCACCACGCAGCGACCTGAGCCAGGGCTTTCAGCCAGTACAAGGGCTGGCCCTGTGCACGCTGAGCACCGTGGGCTCTGCTGACATGTGCCGGGACCTGGTCCCAGAGGTGGAGAAGCTGCTGCTGCAGCCCAGCCCGTACGTGCGGAAGAAGGTGAGACGGCAGGGACTTCTGGAAACTGTCCACAGTCTGCCACGCCACAGAGGTGGGGCGTCGGCCCTCGGGGGTCCCTGCCCTGGCATCTGAGACCCCTGACCTCTGCAGGCTATCCTGACTGCAGTGCACATGATCCGGAAAGCCCCCGAGCTCTCTAGCGTCTTCCTCCCGCCCTGCACCCAGCTGCTTCAAGAGCACCACCATGGTAAGGCTGCAGGGTTCCCTAGCCTGCCTTTGGACAGAAGTGAAAAAATGGGACAGGAACACTAGCTCCAAGGAGAAGGGCAGGGCACACACACACACACACCCCGCCCCGCACCCACCCCCACATGCACATGCACACACAGCAGACTCTCCCTGCCCCGCCCCCAGGCATCCTGCTGACCACCATGACACTGATCACCGAGCTCTGTGAACGAAGTCCTGCAGCCCTCAGGCACTTCCGAAAGGTGGGCAGGTGCAGGGGCAGCTGGGGAGGAGTGGACCTCTGGTTTGGAGAATTAAGAAGGCCCAGGCAGGGCGGTGCCCTCCCTCCAGGTGGTGCCCCAACTGGTGCAGATCCTCCGGACCCTCGTGACCACCGGCTACTCTGCAGAACACAGCATCGCTGGAGTCAGCGACCCCTTCCTGCAGGTGGGCCGACCTCTCCCTGCTGCCTCCTTGGAGCGGAGAGGGCTTTGCAGTAAGACCAGGGCCACTGGTCACCTCTCAGAGAACAGCTGGGCTCTGGCAGTGTCCTGAGTAGGAGGACAGCAGGTGCAGGACTGCTCTGGTGGAGAGATGAGGCACAGAGAGGTCAGAACGTCCAGGTTGGTGACCATGGAAAAAGTCTACTGGATTCCACTGGCCTCGCCCACCTGTGATCCCTCCCAGGGCTCAAGGGGCCTGTGGAGGAAGGAGAGGCACGCAGAGCTCCAGGGCACGGCCAGACCCCTCACAACACTGCCCTTTGGGTCACCAGCCCCGTGCTCCTTTCTCATATCTGCCTTTCAACCTTTAACCCAACCACAGGTGCAGATACTTCGTCTGCTTCGCATTCTGGGCCGGAGCCACGAGGAGAGCAGCGAGGCCATGAATGACTTGCTGGCCCAGGTGGGGCGCTGGGGAGGGGCATGGGTCAGCTATGCTGCTGTGTTACCCCAGCCCTGTGCACCCCTCGCCTGACCTTGCCCTCCCCGTCCCCTCAAGACAGTGGGCTCCCTGCAGGAGGGCTCAATCTTTAGCGCCCAGTCTGGCCTTAGCACCTGGCGGCCACTCCTTTGGATGGCTGAGGGGTGGAGAGATGACGTGGTAGAGACCTTGCGGGGCCCCATGCAGATGGAGCTCTCCTTACTGTCCGCTCAGGTGGCCACTAACACAGACACCAGCTGCAATGCGGGCAGCGCCATCCTGTTTGAGACCGTGCTCACCATCATGGACATCCGCTCTGCAGCCGGCCTGCGGGTATCGACCTGTCCCACTGCGGCCCCGCCTACTGCCCCCCGCCAGGCACTCGGGTCCTGTTCACTGGTCTCTCCTTCTTACCCCGCCATCCTGTGCCCCGGGGTCCCTGCCCCTGAATGAGCGGGTTGCTCCTCCCCTGACCACCACCTCCCTTAGGTCCTAGCTGTCAACATTCTTGGCCGCTTCCTGCTCAACAGTGACAAGAACATTAGGTAACAGACCCAGGTGTCTGGCTGTCCTGCAGAGCCCCCTCATCCACCTCCCTCTCACCGGGGCTGCGGGCTGATGGCCATGGCGTGATAGAGCCCCACCCCCCACCCCCCCGGCCCCGAGCAGGTATGTGGCCCTGACATCGCTGCTGCGGCTGGTGCAGTCCGACCACGGGTCCGTGCAGCGGCACCGGCCCACGGTGGTGGAGTGTCTGCAGGAAACCGACGCCTCCCTCAGCCGGTGAGCGGAGAGCAAGGGCTCACCAGGGCAGCAGGGGAGAGGGCCCAGAGCAACTCAGAGCACCTGCAGCAAGGGCATTACAGGGACAGCTGCCTGGGGCAGGGGAGGGTCCGCTTAGGCCCTTGTCTTTTTCCCTCCAGGCGGGCCCTGGAGCTGAGCTTGGCCCTGGTGAATAGCTCAAATGTGCGAGCCATGATTCGGGAGCTGCAGGCCTTCCTGGAGTCCTGCCCGCCTGACCTCCGGGCTGACTGTGCCTCGGGCATCCTGCTGGCTGCGGAAAGGTGAGGCGACAGGTGCAGGGAAGCAGAGCGGGGCGAGTCTCGGCAGGGTCAGCCCTGATGAGCCATGTCCCCCAGGTTCGCTCCAAGCAAACGGTGGCACATAGACACCATCCTGCACGTGCTGACAACGGTGAGGTGGGGGCTGGCCAGGGAGCAGGGCAGGAGTGGGCAGAGCTGAGCATAGTGACCTGGCTGTGTCCCCCCACCCCTCCAGGCAGGCACCCATGTGCGGGATGACGCAGTGGCCAACCTGATCCAGCTGATTGGGGGGGCCCGGGAGTTACACGCCTACTCAGTGTGCCGCCTCTACAGTGCCCTGGCAAATGATATCTCCCAGGTACCGATCCCATCTTCCCAGGCCCAGGGCTGCCCACCTGCTCCCTCCATCCCAATCCATGTCGCAGCTACTTGGTGCAGGAGACACCCAAGGCCAGGGCTGTTTTTTAGTGAGAACACTGGGCTTCTGTCCTGGCCTTGCTACCTACTGGCTGTGTAACCACAGATGACTAATGGGACTTTATTTAGGTTCCTTCTACCCTGCCTGTCCCCCATAGCTGCCGTGAGCATCAGATCAGATCAAAGCTCATTCTGCACGTCTTCGATGTTGCTATTCCCTTGAATGCTGAGTGAGTTAACCGATGCCAGCCAGCATCTGTAGTGTCCTTTTTCACCTTAAGCCCGGTGGGCCGAAACCACTACCCCTTCCTCCGGGGACCCTCTGCCACCATAGTGCGTTTAGGCCATGTAGTTATAATGCTTGGCCACCAGAGGGCAGTGGGCGCCTGGGCACCAGGACAGAGCCAGCTATCAAAGTCACCTCTTCCCACCCTGCCAAGCTCCACTATCTCTGCACTACCTAGGGAGGCTGCAGAGTGTGGGACTGACCCAGACACTGACCTGTGGTGTTTCTCATCCCACACAGCAACCGCTGGTGCAGGTGGCAGCCTGGTGCATTGGGGAATTTGGGGACCTCTTATTAGAGGGAAACTGCGAGGAAACTGAACCCCTTCAGGTGAGACCTGCGTGGGGGTTCACTGGAGAGGGACAGGGTGGGCAGGGCTGTGCCCAGGCTCACTACCTCATCCACGCCCGAAGGTGGAAGAAGAGGAGGTGTTGGCACTGTTGGAAAAGGTGCTGCAGTCCCATCTGTCCCTGCCAGCCACCAGAGCCTACGCCCTCACGGCCCTCATGAAGCTCAGCACCCGGTTCCGCGGGGACAACAAGTGAGGAGGGGGCCGAGCCCTTGAGACTCCCTTCGCTGAGCACCCCTGCAGACACAGGCCCCACTGTTCCCCTGTCCCTAGGGCCAGCTATCCCAGGGGTCTCCTTACTCTGTGCAGCCTCTCCCTGCCCTGCCAGAGCGTGGAGCATAGGGCAGGGCCCACTGCCACTGCCACTCACGTGCCGCACTGCGGCGCAGCCGCATCCGCCAGGTGGTGTCCATCTACGGGAGCTGCGTGGACGTGGAGCTGCAGCAGCGGGCTGTGGAGTATAACACGCTCTTCCGGAAGTACGACCACATGAGGTGTGCCTGGCAGCCCGCTGCAGTGCGGTCTTACTCGGTCCAAGGGTCTCATCCTCGCCTGTGGCCTTCCCCATCCACGTGGGAGCCCCCCCAAGGCTCTCCGATGCTGTGCTGGCTTCCAGCCCTCCGGGCTCACGTGAAACCCAGCAACAGCGCGCTGTCTCAGGAACTCACAAAGGCCCCTCTGACCCGCCCTGTGCCACGGCCCCCACCCCCAGATGCTTCCTGTTCCACCCAGAGAGACCCACCCACCCTCCCACCTCTCAGGGCTGCCATTCTTGAAAGGATGCCTCTGGTGGAGCGAGGCGGCACTCGGGTTGAAGAGGAAGAAAAGGAAAGCAACAAGGCTGCCCAGCTTTCGGAAGCCGCGGCCCCTGTCCCCGCAGAGCCCCAGGTGAGGGAGGCGGAAACCCTGGAATGAGGCGGCCTGGGTGGAGCCTCCACACCCAGCCCTGAGCCTTCCGTCCTTGGCCCAGGCCTCCAAGCTCTTGGATCTGCTGCACCTCCTGGATGGCTCTTCTGGGGAGGCCCCGTGCCCGCCTCCTCAGGATCCCCCCCCTGGAGGCACCTTAGTACACCTCCTCGACCTTCCCTGTGCACCTGCACCCCCAGGTGAGCCGCAGCAGAGGGAAGACGCCTCAGAGAAGGCTGCTCCTGGTCCTGAGCCAGGGACCAAGGCTCGTCACCCTTCCCACGCCTGGGTCCCCCAGCCTCTTCCCAGCAGGGGGAGGGGTCACTCTATCACGCCTCTCTTTTGTCTTTTTACCATGGCCTGTGGGCCCCGCCCATCTCATGCCACATCCCCCATCACTACTCCACTGGCCCTCACTCCTCAAACGCTCCCTGGCCATGCGCTTGGTGACTCAAGTTCTTTTTATATGGGGTGTTCTTTCCTCAGCACTTCAGACCGGCTCAGTCCTCAGCTCAATGCCGGCTGCCTTTCCCTGCCACTCCTCTTGCAGTCGGGTCTTCCCAGTTAATCCCGGCATAATTTCACCTTCACGATACCACTTACGGCCTGTGCTGGTCTGGCTTCCTTCCTTTATTGTTTCTCCCCACCGCCCCCGAGTGTAAGCGCCAACCTCACGTTCCTGTCTACTTTGCCACTACCAGTAAGTCTCGCTGAGATGGTGCTGAATGGAGGAAAAAATGGACGAACGAACATGTTCTCAGCCTGCCCACTGAGCGGCCTCTCTCCCAACCCTAGCTGCCATCCCCGACTGCAAAGCGTTTGAGCGTGATGGGGTACAGCTGAACCTCTCTTTCATTCGACCACCTGAAACTCCTGCTTTGCTCCTGATCACCGTCACCACCACCAACTCCTCGGGGGGTGACGTCACCCATTTCACCTGCCAGGCTGCTGTGCCCAAGGTTTGTAAAGATCGGGGTTCAGACGTGGCCTGGGCACTCCAGGAGAAAAGGCCTTAAAGTAGAGGGGGTGGCTGGAGACAGACCAAGACGGGCACTCGGGGGCTGACGGGAAAGCGGTCTGGAAGCACCGTGACTGGAGGCTCTCTCCAAACCGCCTGTGCCCAGAGTTTGCAGCTGCAGCTGCAGGCCCCCAGTGGGGACACGGTTCCAGCTCGGAGCAGCCTGCCCATCACCCAGCTTTTCAGAATCCTCAATCCTAACAAGGTGAGCTCCAGGAGCCCCTGGGCGGGAGACCAGGGATGAGAGAAGTCACGGACGCTGACCCTGGTCCCCACTCTCCTGTTCCTAGGCCCCCTTGCGGCTGAAGCTGCGCCTCACCTATCACCACCTTGGCCAGTCCGTCCAGGAGACCTTTGAGGTGAACAACTTGCCTGTGGAGACCTGGCAGTAACTCCCCATGTATCCCAAACCCTTGGAGCCACAACAGCTTGAGGCCTACACCTGAGGTTGACCAGCAGGTGGCGCTCCGGCCCTGTGTTTGCCACTGCAAAAACTGGGGGGAGGGGGTGGTCCCTTCCCCCACAAATAATGAAAGCCCAATAAAGCCTGAAGGGGTTGGAAAGCCATATTTGGGTATATTTGAGGTAGAAAATGCGTGTGAATCACAGCGAGGGGAGAGCCTTCTGACACGACCAATGTGTCTCCTTCCACTGCATCCGGGGAACCCGTCTCCACCAGGAGTGTCTTCAGATGGGGAGCAGATGTGCCCGCAGCTTCCACAGGAGGCACTCTACCAACTGGGGCAGAGCTGGGCACGGTGGCAGTCAGACCAGCACTCCCGCAGCTCTAACCGGGATTCCCAGCCACTTCCCCAACTGCTGCTACTCCCCACACCCCCAGGCAGGGGAATCCCGCTGCCTCCCCTCATCTCTAACTCAGCTGTAAGGCGGTTTAGGAGCCGCTGGCAGAATCAATGGCATCGACCAAGGGAGGGGGGGTGGCAAGGGATTTTCCTGTGCTTAACTACTGATCACGGCTAAGTGGAAATCCTATAAACACGAGCGGAAATCAATGGAGGCTGCTTAGCGGCCAGGGGAGAGGGGCGGCCCACAGATTGCATCTGACGGATGAGAGAAAGGAGGCAGCCAGGGAGGGCTTGAAGAAGGGTAGCTGGGATGGGGTGAAGGAGCAGGCATAGCTGTGGACAGAGGGGTCACTGTGGGATGGGAAGAGACACAGCGACCCCAGGAATGCATCCCACGGGGCCCAGAGTCCCGCTTGCTTCTAGGAAGGGCCCCCGGAGCCCAGGCTGTCACCAGGATGCTTGGTCCCCATCCTCTCTGTGGAGCGGTACACTTCTAGCAGGCGCTCATAGTCCTGGGGCCGGAAGCGCTGGAGGTACACGATCAGCTTGGCGGGGGCTGTCTCCTGGGCTGGCACACCTGCGGGCAGGGTGAGGAGAAGCAGAGCAGGAAGCTCCCTGAGTCCAGCCCCTATCCACCCAGCCGGGACCCCACGGTCGTTTCCAAGGTAGCTCTGGGATTCTGAATGCCATCGGCGCAGCCCACCGGCCCACGCCCTCACCGGCCTGTGGAAGTGGGCCTTCCCCCAGCGAGGAGAAATGGCGAAGAGGCAGCCAGGCACCATGACGACAGAGCACGCCACTGCATTGGCCCCTTGGCAGTTACTACCTCTGTCCCCCAGGCAAGAGGAGAGCCTGCCGAGGCAGGCCGAAGCCCATCAGCTAGGTACAAAGCACACGCAGAGCTGTGCACGCAGAAATTCGGGGCTGCAGAAAGCCGCCAGGCTGCAGCCACGGGGTGGGATTCACACGGGATATTCTCCGCGTGGCAATGGGCCTGTTGCCAGTATCTAGTGTGAGTGCCCGGTACCAAGCTGAGCACAGAGAAGGCGACTGGGTACACGTCTGCCGGGAGGAGGGGGAGGCCAGAACAGCCTCCAGGGCTGTAAGACCCCGGGGATGCCCAGCCCCATACTTGTATTGGACAACTAGCCGGACGGACAAAGCCTGAAGACCAAAACAACCCGGCCCAAAGCTTACCCCACTGTCTCCCAGAAATACTGGTTTTGCCTTTTACTTAGAGCCACCAGGACAAAAGAAGCTATAAAAAAAAAAAAAAAAAAAAAAAAAAAAAAAGGAAGGGGTGGGCGTGCCTAGGTTTGTTCCCAGCTCTAACTCCTGGCTCCAGCTTCCTGCCAGTGCACTCCCAGGGAGGCAGAGGATGACAAGTACTTGGGTCCCTGCCACCCATGTGGGAGACCAGGATGGAGTTCTTGACTCCAGCCCCAGCTCTTGGGGGCTTTAGGGGAGTGAACCAGCAGATGGCAGCTGCTTCTCTGCCTCTCAATTTTTTTTTTTTTTTAAGGTTAGACGTTTGGGCAAAGGTAGGGTCCAAGCAGAGCACGGACAAACCGAAGTGCAGGAGACCTGTCTACAGGTAAGACAGCAAAATGAGAAATGAAATACGATTAGAAAGAAACACATAGGAGGGTCAAATCCAGACTGCACAGCTACCCTGAAAGAAGAAAGCAGGTTGGATAGAACTTGCAGCCAACTGGGTCCTTCCGAAAATTGCTAAAGCGATTCCTGTTACAGACACAATCCAGAGACTCCGCACCCCCACCCCGTGATCTGAGCCAGTGGGTGCCTCCTGAAGAGTGACGCGGGAGCAGGACCAGCCCCACGCCCTCACCAAGCTTGCTGCTGAGGCCATGGATCTTCTCCAGCGCCGTGGGCACCTCGGCCTCCTCCTGCACCAGGGCCTCCACCTCCCCCACGGCGTAACCAAAATCGGCTGTATCCAGGTCCACCCTGAGCTCCTCTTCAGCAGCTCCTCCAGGGAGCACCAGTTTCCAGGCACTCCGTGTTGTCACAAAACTGGCTACCTCTTGCAGCCCCAGGGGGCCCAGCACCGCAGCCACGCCTCCTGCCTCAATACCCTCGGCTCCCAGCACCTCCCAGAGCCTGGCCACAATGGCAGGTTCAGCTACAAGTTCCCTGTACTCAGTGTGGGGCCCCGTGACACCTGCGGAGCCGGGACATTTGAGCTCCCACCCTCTGTCCTCCCGTTGTCGCAGCCAGTGGTCGGCTCGCATGAGGCTCAGCTCAGGGGTGTCATAGTAGGTGTCTCGGAAGATGACCCGGCGCTCCAGGGTGGCCCCCAGCTCCTGCAGCCGCTGCTCTGTGCCAGGCCCTGGAATGAACTTCCGCTCCACCTCAATCAAGCCCTGGGCCATGCTACCTGCAATGGAAAAATCAACAAACATTCGCGGAGCTCCCAGGGGTGCTCGGCTTGCGGCGTGACCGCCCGGCACAGACCGCAGCCCAGGGTGAACGTGTGAGGCACACACAGGTCGCAACACCCTCTGCCACGCTACAACCCCTCTCTGACTCCGTGGCAGGAGGCCCCCCTCTGCAACAGTGACAGGGCTCCGGTTAAGTCCCTGCCACCGCTGCCGTCCTCAATCCAAAGGCATCCCGAGAAAGCAGGCCGTGGAGCGGGCATCCGACTTCCAATGCCCTCTCCGTACACCGAGCTACCCGGCAGGCCAGAGGCTCACTGCCTGGAGCAACCTGCCCGTCCTCGCCTCCGCACCGGCCGGCGGAGCCTCGGGTCTCACCTCAAAGCCCGAGGGTCTCCCTCGCCAGGGACCCGGAGATGGGGGGAAGGGGAGCCCACGCCACACCGCGAGGAATGCCGGGAGCAGTCTCTGGCCCCGACCTCGGCCCGGCTCTCCGCGCGGCCGGCCGGTCCCAGCACCAGCGGCCATGTTAGGCCGATGTGACGGTGCCGAGGGAAGGCCGGAGCCCGGGAGGCCGGCTAGGTTATGGACGGCTGAGACCCCCACGGTGGACAGAGGACCGAGCTGTCCCTTGGCGCTGTGCTTCTTATTCTCGACCCCTCCTGGCTGCCGGGGGTCGGCCCGGGTCTCGGGCCTCAGGATGAGCAGGCACCTTGGGGTTCCAGTGCATGATGGGAGATGTAGTTCCAAAGGGAGTTTTGCCTGCCGGGCCTCCCCACCTGTCGCTATGGTAACTGGAAAGCTGCAGTCAGTGCCCGCGGGACTCCACCTACAGCTGAACTAGGGCTGCAGGGCGGTGGGGAGAGTTGGGTGCCAGGAGCTGAGGCTTCAGGCTCCAGCCGCTTCCCAACTAAGCACATGGACAAGGGGATTACACAGTCACTCGTGCAAACACTGTCCAGCAGGTACCTAACTGACCATTATGGAGGCCCACTAAGTGCAGGCCAGCGGCCATGGGCTGGGGTGGGGGCATAGCAGGAAATTAAGTCCGGTTTAGCTCCCGTGGAGTTTTCAAGGGGACCTCATACACCCTGCCATAGAGGTTTAGGGTAAGGGTGGATGAGAGACTCTCCGTCAGAGGCGGAAGTGATGTTTGGGATGGGAACGAAAGATGGGGTGGGATTTCAACAGTTGGAGACCCAGGTGGAGACCAGAACAAAGGCCCAGAAACTGGAGAGCACCTGGCCAGAAAAAGATGAGGCTGGGGCCAGTGCTGTGGCCGTAGCTGGTTAAGCCACCTCCTGCGATGCTGGCATCCCGTGTGAGTGCGACTGAGTCCCAGCTGCTCCACTTCCAAGCCAGCTCCTCGCTAATGGCCTGGGAAAGCAACAGAAGATGGGCCAAGTATTTGGGCCCCTGCTACCCACATAGGAGACCCGGATGGAGTTCCAGGCTCCTGGCTTCATTGCACTCATTTGGGGTGTGAATCAGCAGGTGGAAGATCTCTCTATGTCTCTAACTCTGCCTTTCAAATAAATGAATTCAGAGAGAGAGAGAGAGCGAGGAAGGGAGGGAGAGAGGAGAGAGAGAAGAAAGAGAGAGAGAAGAAAGAAGAGGCCAGAAATGCTATGGAGGAGCAGATTGGAAAAGGCCTTGAGTGGCAGTCGCTGAGCGGGTCCGGAGCCATAAATGTATTTGTTCCTGTAAAGCGCATGGAAGATATGGGGCTGGCCTTTTGCTTTGGCAGCCAAAACAGAGAAAGCTCCTTCTCCTCACTCCCTCTGAGGACTGCGGCTGTCTGCACACCTCACCTGGCTGACTGATGCTCCCAGATGGGCGAGAAGCGCCTGGTTCTCCACGCCTGCTCCCCAGGGCTTTCCTGGAAGCACGTGTCCAGTGGGAAGTCCCGTGGGGAGAGAAGACTGCTGGTTTACAGACTTCTCCCCACCCCGCGCCGGCGCCACCCTTCTCCCTGGCCCGCATTTCATCCCTGCCTTGCCTCTCAGGTGTGTGGACCCAGGAAGGAGACCTACTATGTCCTCTATTATTAGAAGGACCAGTCCAGCGGGCCAGAGGCAGCAACCTCACGGAATGGCACGAGCAGACCCGGGGCTGAACCTGGGCTTGCCCGCCCAGCTCTGCTGCTGGGTCTTGGGGGAGCTGCCCCTCCCCCCCAGCCTCTCCACGGGTAAATGTGTGTGAGGACTCAGTAACAAACCACAGGTCACGTGGCAGAACCTGGAAATGTCACCTCAGGGGCGTTATTATATTTTGAGAAGTAGGCTTAAACAGCAAGTGTGGGTTCTGGAGCCAGACCAACGAGGTTGGAGTCCTGGCCTTGTCACTTACGGACCACGGGTCA